CCTATGGATGGGCTAGAATAATCGAAAAAAATCTACAACACCTGACCTTGAGGTTTTGGTTTCGCGTCGGTCTTCTAGTAGCTGGAGTTATCTATCAATGCACAAACCACAATTATGAATGCTTGTTGGCTTGTCACCCTGCAGATCTGGTAGCATGCTCTAGGGATAAAAACCTCGGTGGACGGGTATAACCTGCAGGGATGGTTGCCCTGTTGCGTTGCGCCGCGGTGCGTTTGTATACTCGCCACCTCTCCGGTAGCGTGGGTGCACCGCTCATCGCCGGTGGATTTGAGCCTGGCCTTTGATGCAGTGAAACCATAAAAGAGCACAACTGTTGTTTTTCTGTAACTGGATTGGACTTGTTCCGGTTGTCACGTGTTCCGCAACACCAAGAAATACAAGGGAACGACAACTGTCCCTTCGTTTATTTTAAAATATATATGCATGGGGTAGCCTGAAGATACTGCGCGAGACTGACGGCTAACTTCGGCATGCAAGGGGTTGCCACCTTCGTCTTAGTTGGGTCGCACCACCCCAAGTCTTCTTCACCACCCAAACATAGCACACAGGTTCTTCTCTCTTGTCCTCTAGAGCGGTCAAATTTCCTGATTACAAGCAGTTACAGCTAGCGCTTAATGGCTATTTTGCACCGCACCATTCATTTTCTGATGTCGACAGCAGTGGCCCGGTGACTGGTGTTCCTTACTCTTAACTCTCCGTTAAGTTGACGCTGTAGATTTCAGTTAAGCGACGGCTCTTATCCATTATATGTGGAGCCGTTGCCCGACTGCCTTTTACCTGCCCAGTGCCGCAGCTCACAATAGCCACCTCGTTGCACGACGGAGACCCTATGTTCAGATTCTTTTGGCAAGCTAAAAACTGCCGTCATGTAATCGCCCGCTCCGACCAGCCCAGTGGCTAGCATCCCTGCCAGATACCTCAACGACAAAGCCCTTACCTTCCCAGAAACACGCACTTACCCTGGCCCAGTGGGTATTTTGTTTCTAGATTAGCAAACAAATCCACCGTTCCTGGGTCCATTTAGCTTGCTGTTATTCCATTTTAGATGTCATTTTATTGACACCGTTGTGTCCGATGCCTCCTGGCACTCAATAGACGATACTGCTCTCATCTTATTCCTTCCTCATGCCCCCTCTCTCCAAGCTTCAAACTTCGGCTGCAGCTGCCAAAACTCCCCGTATAACAGTTATTCATTCAAGCTAGCTGGTTCCTGGTCTACGCTCACATGTTCTTCCAACTGAAGGGAAATGATCCATGACCCTGCATTGGCCTGGCTCTATCTGTGTCAGTCTCCTCGCCTAACGCGGTCCGGTTGCCACGGAAATGCGTATTCCCTCTCCGATTGTGGCATCATTGACTGCTGTTACGCAGCTGTGCATAAACCGAAGTATGTCAGTGCAATGACACTGCCAAACCCAGCGTGATGGCACTCCCGTGATTATTTTCTTCAGAATCTCGACAGCAACCTCCCGCCCACTTGAGCCTGTAATTGCAATTACGAGCAAAATGTCACCCGGCCCCAACCACCTCTGGGACGAGTTCACTCCAACCCAATGAAAGTTTCGTTCGGATTTGACCAACCTGGTTTTCTGCTGCAATTTCGGGTTGTCTTTTTCACAAGTTCAATTCCATACACGGCCTTCGTTTAGCCCTATGCATTAGCACTATTTCTTCATCGAACGTATCCTTTGCAACTGATTTGCCTACTACGGTGGAACCAGTAATTCTACTCACTTTCAGATTGAGCCACATTTTTGAGAAACAACCTGCTACTTTCTCCCACTTCGAATTGTTCCATCTCCATCTCCATTTTTGCTTGTTGGGAATCTGGCCGTTTACCTAACCGCCCAAGATCACTCATGGCAAGCAACGACCGTCACTTTTAGTTCATGTCAACCGTTTTCATCTTTGAACCAGTGGAACCTGTACAGCTTCTTCACTAAAAGTTGGGAAATAAGCCCACTATTATTATTTCACCTGATATTGCCCACTGTTTTTATTATTCTCTTCTTGTCGCAGAATCCCAGCTACTCGCAAATTTCACAAGCATGCTTCATTCTGACTGTAAACCTATGATTGTGCCAAACGGCACGCCACCCACAAGTTGGGAATAAAAGTTATTATCATTATTAACATAGCAGCTGGCGAAGTAGGTATTTAGAGATTCTGTAATGTCAGCAGAGTGTTCCCGTCAGCGGCCACAATATTTAGAATTGCAGGTGAATTTGGTAAGCGAAGCCTGTGTAATTGGCTCCCCAATATCTTAGATTGAAGAGAACGTGGCAAGGTGGTAGATCCCACGCGCTTTTCAAGAGCGGGTTTGGTGGTGGTAATCGCAGTCTAAGTTTGTTCATTGGGATAAGGAAGGAGTGATTATAGGATTCACAGGGGAGCCTACGATACTTTTTAATTTCATGGTCTATGGCAGATAACCGTGTGGCTGAATGACAACCAGAAAAATATGGAGCTCGTAGGAGAGCGACTAGACATAATAATGATAGTAGATTGCCGTTAAAGATGTTGGCCACGTTTTGCGTGTAACAAGAGTGAAATAACCCGTCACAGGTTTTATGGTGCAAGGAGATTTCAAATGTTTCAAGAATGCTGGGGATAGAATGAAGAATCTTAAGGTGAGAAGAGTAAGAGAGGGATGGGTACTCACCCAGCTGCAATACAATGGTCGCTAGCAGAGAACGTCAGGCCAACTATAGCGGTAGGACACAGGCAGCCGTTGACAAAGGCAATGTTCAGGGTGTGGGCACCATGTGTTTGTTGCCTCACAAGCTGGGACGAGCCTTAGTCATCAAGTTAGGCAAGCAGAGGCGAGAGGCGCGAAGGGGAGTTTTGTTGAGATCAGGAGATCTCAGCAAGGTTGAGATCATTAACAATTAATTTGTTTGGGTGAGGTAGAGCTTGTGTGTTGGAAAGAAGCGTGGACGGATGGCTAAGTGAGTTAGTGGAGTGTGGAAGGGCATGTGTAAGCACCCGTGAGTGAACGGCAGGTTAGACCGACAGGCAGAGAGCCAAGCAGGGTCTTGAGTGTCCACCAGTAGTGGATTGTCATTTGAAGAGACTTCCATTTCAGTTCTGGAGTACGTGAGGCAGCCACCACCACAGTGTTGATAACGATCGGAACGGAAGATAGTGTTTCTTGGAAGGGAGATTAGGGAAACTGGCGTGCCAGGAGAGATCCACGTCTCTGTGATGCATATGAAGGTTTCATAGGCCATAGTGGAGATTGCTTAGATGTAATGCAACTTAGATAAGAGGGAGGGTTTTGATTGGAGGGACAGATGAAGGGAACAGGGTGGCTAGAACGAAGTGTGCGAGCCCAGGGAGGTCGGCATGGAATGGAGTAAAGACAAGGAAATAGGGGGTTTCTCAGTGGTAGGCGAAGTAGGATCAGGTAAAGATGTGCAAGGTAAGATTTTGGGACGCACCGTGATGGACAGGAAGACAGCTTTTGGGTGGCAGTGCAGGCATGAATGCTCCATGGACAAAGAGTTACAGACTGTGCCGGGTAACCGCTTGCAACAATGTAGTCAAAATCATCAGATGATGGTACCGTGTGTGACAGCCGAACAGAATTAGTGGAGTTTAGGTTACACAAGAAGGAGGGCATGGTGTAGTGTTTAAGAAAGGGGAAATGAGAAGGTAAGACAGGGACACCTAGAGGGCAAGAGGATGCATCGTAGTGCATCTAGCACTGAGGCGTGGGCTCGGAGCGTACCTGTATCCAAAATGGGCTGATCGGGGGAGATGAAGTAATTGGCTTATGTTAAGGGATGCAAGATAAAGAGAGGGGACAAGGTGCAGTGGTTAAGTCATGGATGCAGTCAAACTTTTTGAGAGGAGTGGGCTCCGTTGGTTGTAGTAGAGGGGCTTTGAAATGAGGGGCAAGATACGGCTACCTGTCGTAGAGGTGGGGTTGCACGCAGTCTTGAAAAAGGCAGAGGCTTTGATAGATTAGGTCGAGATCCCAGGCAAAGAGTATGCGAGTTACCTGAGGGGTGGAACTTGATAGGGGCTAGGATCAGGTAATGTTAATTGTGGTTTAGAGATCCTGTCAAATATTTGGGTTGCATGGTTCGAGAAGCTGCAGATGCGCTGGTGTAGAATTCAGTGTATAATCTGGTTTGTAGAAGGGCGAATGGCAGGAGAGCGGGGGAAAGTGTTAAGATACTAAGTGTGGACAGCAGGTGTTTGGGTTCGAGGAGGCGTTTTGGCGGGGAGACTCGAAGTGTCATTAGATCAGGAGGTTCAGAGGAAGGACCTGTGCTGTCGTTCTCGACTGCATCCTCATGTGCGAGCCGATAAGATACCGTTTCTGCTAAATCAGCCGTGGATCTTGGTGGCATGATGGAGGTCAGAAGATAAGCGGATACAAGTGGATATAGGTGGATATATATAAGGCCCAGCACCCCACGCTCAGACTCATAAGGCGGCACTCAACAGGGCTATAATGTGGCGAACCTAAAGGATCATTGACGGAGTGTCGGGAATTTAGCGGTAACACTTCAACTCCAGCATCACTGAGGGCGAGTATAGGCCCGGCTGACCCGTAACTGCCTTTAGTGTTACTGGGGGCGATTAAGGTATAACAGAAATTGACGCTAGCGGATTAGGGTCCGGGCCGATTAGTAGACTCAGCACCACTCGCACATCCGTCCACGGCAATCCGGCTTGCGTAATTGCTATTGGTCGCATGTGAAGTCTTTGATTGAGTGGGGTCAATAGTGCTGATTGTTTCAGATGAGTAAATGGGAGGTTATCCGATTGGCAGATTACAGTGGTTAATTTTTGGGATTTGGTTGGTGAACTTTTAGTAAACTGGCTTTGCAGTGGAGTGGGAGCACCTTTGGTCTTGACTGCTTGGAGCTTTGCGGCAGAGGAGAGGAGGTCCTGGGATGATACTAAGAATGCGGTATCGTTTTCGCCCTTGAATCGCATTATTATTTGGCAACATAAGGAAGGCTATGTCATCGAACTGTGCAGATGGTGTTAGGCGTGCTACATGCCATCAAGAGAGCCGTTTTTGTGAGTTCGAGCAGGATGGGATCAGAAAAGCTGTAAATTGAGACCTGATGGTGGCACTCCAAAGGCTGGCAAATCTCAGAGGCTATTGAGCCACTGAGGATGGATGCTTTTTCAGGATTTGCCTGTTCGCATGTTGCGTCAGGGGAGAGAAGGCAAGCAATTGGGTGTATGCGCTATTGAGCACTGAGGATGGATGCTTTTTCAGGATTTGCCTGTTCGCATGTTGCGTCAGGGGAGAGAAGGCAAGCAATTGGGTGTATGCTTCGAGAGGAAGCTGGTTCGCTCTCTTCCCTATGCACACAGGCTCTGAGATCAGCCAGGTCTGTGTGAACCCGGTTTTTCTGGTGCAATTTCGGCTTGCCTTCTTCACAAGTCAAAATCCGCGCACGGTGTTTGGGTCGCCCTATGTATTTGAACCTTGCCCCCATCCAACCTATCCCCTGCACCTGACTTCCCTACGACAGTGCAACCAGTAAATCTGCTTGCTTCCAGATTAAACCGCATTTTTGAGACAAAACTCGCCATGTGCTCTCAGTTTGAACTATCCCATCTTCATCTCCACCTTTACCCGTTGTGACTCCGGCCATTTTGATAACCACCCAAGGTCACTCATGGCCAGCAACGGTTTTCAGCTTAAGTTCATGCCAGCTGGCTATGTCTTTGAAGCAGTCGAACCTCATGCACATTGTTCCCAACAATTTGGGGAAGAAACCTATTATTACTATTTCATCGGGTACTTCCCACTGTTTATGACAGTATCCTCTTTTTGTGCAATCCACAACCCCACAAACCCCCAGTCATGTTTTATTCTGACTGTAAATCTATGATCATGCCAGACGGTATGCCACCCACAAGTTGGGGAAAACATTATTATTATTATTATTATTATTCTAGCAGGGGTGAGGAAGGAGGGATGCTGAATGGGAAGCGAAGAAAGACATCTGTTAGCGCTTCCGAACAGTCTGAATCGACTTGCAGTATCCTGTTAACCGACTATGAGGAGTGACGGGACTGAATATAGGTCTTTTGGCAGCAACGAGATTCTTTCGACGCAGCTGGGGTTTGGACGATAGGGATGACGGGTCCATCAACCGCTTAGAGGAGGACAAGAGTGGCGGCATTATCTTAAATTGTCAGATAAACGCGAATCTGAAACGCTAGTCAGATACTGAAGAACACAGCTGGGTCTCTCCACAAACGTGAGCACGTCTGACGGGATTCAGTGCCTGAAATTTAAGCCTCTACTTTTCATGAGTGTGGTTATTTGCCTAAACACGATGGTTTCAACTTATGCTTAGGGCGGTAGAGGTTTTGTTTCTTGTGACTTACTCAACCAGGAAAAAGCAAGAGTGTGAGAGTGCAGCCACTGAGGGAGCGCTTCAACTGGGCAATCATCGGTGTACACTAATGACTTGGAAGCGCTACGGAGAGGCTAACGGCCAAAAACTATTTTCCAGCACCTGACCTTTATAATAATAATAATATTTATTCCCAACTAGTTAGTGGCATACCGTCGGGCATGATCATA